AACATGAAAATTGCGTTAGACAAGGAATTAAAAGATTTTTTTCAATTAAATTACAAGAATGAGAATAACATAATTTTTCACAAGATATAATATAAATATCTAAATTGTAAAAAAGACATTTTCTAATCGTAATCATAGATTGTTCTGTTGATATTTTTGCTTTATGATCTGTTTCATGAAAGTTCTGATCTAAATTAAAATGTGTTTTACAAACACTAAGTTTACTAGATCTAGCATTTCCTATTTTAACAGATTCTGAATTAATTTCCCAAATTTTGACTAACTGCCATAATTTCCGAATACTTGGGTTTTGGCATTTATTAATCTCTTCAGTTTTTGGATCCATAACCATAATTGCACAAGTGAAATGACATATTTTATTATTTTTCTCAATTATAATTTTCGTAATCTCATTTTCATCATCTGAGTCCTCAGTATCTACACATATATCTATAAAAAAAAAACTTTATTATTATCATTAAATAGGAAGATTATGCATATTCTTGATTTACCTTCATTATCTTCAATATGTATTAATTCATCAAAAGAATCCGTTTCGGAAGAATTATCATCAGAATTGTTTTCTATATGTTCAATATTATCATTTAAATTTATAAAGGAAAAAAATTCATCTTGCGTAGAAGATTGTTTGAAATCCATTTCATCATTAATATTCTTTGCTGATTCATTCGCGATATCAAAAGTAGTTTCATCATCATTTATATTTGGAGTTGAAGGCATAGACATAATTTTTAAGTTACCAAATAAGTCATAATAACTTTCACCACCAATTTTTTTATAAAAGCTCATTTTAATAATAAAACGAATGTGTTTATTAAATAATATAATTAAAGAATAACAAGAGAGCGTAATAATAAAAATTTTATTAAAAAATTAATTGGGTGGCACAGTTGGCATAGTTATTAACGTTAGTCGAATGAAAAAAATAAATACCTCTATATTTAAAAAAAAAAAATTTTAAAAGTAAACTTTTTAATAATTTAACCGACATATAATTTAACTTAAAATAACTATCTGCATGGTTTTTCACTTGCATTCACATGTTATTTTTTAAATATAAAATTTGTGGATAACGAGTTTTGATTTAGATTAATTAAAGTTGAAAGTTTAAAATAATAATTGATTAAAAAAAAAAAAAAAGCCAATAAAATTTTCTTTATCTATTTGTTGTAATATTAATTGTTCAAACTAATTTTGAATTGATAAATTTATTGTTATTGAGAAAAGTAAAGTCTAATAAATTGAAATACAGCGAACCCAATAAAGAATTTGTCAAAGCAAATCTATTAAAACCAATCAAATAATGACGATCAATGCATGTCTATAATTTTTCACATGCGTGAGGTAATAATGTTATAAATTACTCCTACTCTTTTTTAAATGGTAGCTGATCTTTGTCCCTTTAAGTAATTACATAAAAACAACCTGATTTTCTAACTT